TTATTATTATGAATTCTACATATAAATGTATATATATATATATATGTGTGTTTCTTCATCGTCTGTGGGCTTGGCGTGGGTCCTGCTGCAGTTCTACATTACATCATCACCTCGTCTGTGCTGACCACGCACGGTACTTTTTTTCCTGGCCTCTTGAAGTTCCAAGGCCGGCTCCAAATTGAAACACTTTTCAATAGCGGCAGACTGCCGGATGGCCCCACACAGTAAGACGGAACTGATCAGTAGTGACAGTGCAAATTCAGGATGCTAAACGTTACTCTAACTTTTATGAATCTCGTCCAGGGCCTACTGGATGGACCCTGGCGCTCGAATTTCAATCATCAAGAAAGTCCCAGGGGCAGGGGTCGTTCGGATGAAGTGCCTCATGGCGTGTCCATACGCCACGAAGGACCAACCGTGCTGGAACGCTTTCTTTGCCACATCTGCCCCACGACCTCGATAGACTCCAATTGTAGCTTTTATGGAAGGCCCTGATGCATTTGTTGAACTCGTCCCTGTACATGCGGTACTCGGCAGGTGCGAAACGCTGAAGAACCTCAGCAGGCCATGCTTCATCTCCCGGGAACCGGACAGCCTTGCGCTTGACCTTCTTCTTCCCAGCAGGCCGCAGCCGCTGGATGGACCTTGTGATTGAGAGGACCTGCCTCTGACTAGCCTGGGCTTCCTTGATTGCCTGCTCCAGTTTTTGTTGGTCCTGCTTTGACTGAAGGACCTCGTTGAACAGGGGGTTCTGGAGAAGGTCCAAAAGCTCTGCATCGTCTTTTTCACGCTCATGCAACGCGAGCTCCAGCGCATCCGCCGCTTTCTCATCGGATGGACCCAACACGCATTTGATTCCTGACAGGAGAAGGTCCCCCACCAAAGACTCATCCGAGGAACCCATGTCCTGCCCGAACTCCTCCTTCAACAGCAGTTTCAGGACCGTCATCGATACATTCGGGAACCGCCTCTCGGCGCAATACTCCAGAATGTCTTTCTCAGACCCACTTGGCCACAAAAGAGGGACCTCGTGCTCGGATGTGTCCTTTGTTCGGACCGAATGTTCCAAAGGACTTATCGCCGAGGCAGGCTGGACGGACCACTCATCGAATATACACACCTGCACCCAATGAAGCCTCTCGGCGGTCACAGGAAGGACCTATGCCAGGGGCCGTTCAGTTAAGTTTCAAAAAAATTGCCATGCCCAATTTAGTCTGCCCAATGTTCCACCCCCGGGCCTGCCAGCCACCATGTGCAGTCTGATGGACCTCCATGGTCAAGACGCCGGCATTGCTCGGCCAGGCGCCCATGCTCAATCTCGGCTTGCTCCAAGACTTGTGTCGCACGAGAAGGCCCATGGTCAACATCGCGCTCCGCCATGACTCGGACCTCGGCACTGAGCCGTTATTTAATTCAACTACACTCTTTTCCGCTGCCATCGCTCGTGCTCTCTCTATCTCTCTCTCTCTCTCTCTCTCTCCCTCTCTCTCTCTCTCTCTCTCTCTCTCTCTCTCTCTCTCTCTCTCTCCCCTCTTTCTCTCTCTCTCTCTCTCTCTCTCTCTCTCGCTCTGTCTCTCTCTCTTCCTCTCCTTCCTCTCTCTCCTCTCTCTCCCTCTCTCTCATCCTCCTCTGCTCCTCTCCTGTCTCTTCTCCCCGCTCTCTTTTCATTCTCTGTCATCTCTCAGCTAGTCCTCTCTTCTCTCTACATCTCTCCTCTCTCCCCTCCCCCTCTCTTTTCTCTCTCTCTCCTCCTCTCTCTCTCTCTCCTCTCATCTCTCTCTCTCTCTCTCTCTCTCTCTCTCTCTCTCTCTCTCTCTCTCTCTCTCTCTCTCTCTCTCTCTCTCTCTCTCTCTCTCTCTCTCCCTCTTTCTGTCTCTCTCTCCTGACCTTACCTATCTTACTCTCTCTCTCTCTCTCTTTCTCTCTCTCTCTCTTTTTCTTTTTTTTTCTCTCTCTTTCTCTCTCTTTCTCTCTCTCTCTCTCTCTCTCTCTCTCTCTCTCTCTCTCTCTCTCTCTCTCTCTCTCTCTCTCTCTCTCTCTCTCCCCTCTCTCTCTCTCTCTCTCTCTCTCCCATCTCTCTCTCTCCCCTCTCTTCCTCCTCTCTCTCTCCCTCTCCCCCCTCCCTCCCTCCCTCTCTCTCTCTCTCTCTCTCTCTCTCTCTCTCTCTCCCCCTCATTTGCAGCACTTGTCTTTGTGTGTGTGTGTTTGTTAAGATGCATCTCTTCTAACCAGAAAGCCACAGAGATCTATTTAAGCGTATGTCAACGTTTCGATCTTTGACATGCAACATGCTGCAACGATAATACTCTTTTCTATCACACGCGTAAGTACAACTTGTGCAACTTGTTATCCAAGGTTGCAAAAAAGATTATATCTCTCAGCCTTTCTATTCGCCCTTCTTTGGCTGACTTTGCAGGGGTGCTGGGCTGAACGGCGCCTCCTGCGTGCCTTGCGCCGGCGACAGGCTCAAACAGAACCGTTGCAAAGGAGTGTTCTCAAGGTCTTTTAAAGATGCCAAACTATCAGTTTTGGTAGCTCGCGACGCCATCCTGTCAGGACATTGAGGGGGGAACTGCCCTGCCAAAATGGTCTGAAGAGGCGATCCATTCGCAAAGCACAGAAGTGTAGCACAGAACCTTTTTTTCAGAAAGCAGCACTTGGCAATCTCGTTTTTAAGTCGATGGGTGTAGCTACGGCCATTTGTCAGACATCTAGGCTTGGATGCGTGTGAGAAAATTGACTAGCCCTAGGTAGGATAAGGGGGGCCCGTAAACGGGAACCCTTCTTGACCCTCTTCTGGCTAGGGTCTATATCCCCAAGGGTCCCCTTAATCCTATCCCCCTAACTAGCTATGTCGGAGTTGAACGTTTTGGAATGCAGCTCAGGCAGGCCTAGGAAGGGTTACGCGTAGGTTGTCTTCAGTGTGTTTGGCATGCAGGGGGCCACGTCAGCCCCAAAAAGGCGAACCTTGACTCAATGATTCAAGGCAGGTTCTTACACGGATCTTGTGGCCGTCCGAAGCATTGCAAAACAGACACGCTGGCTCTCTTGGGCAGCCAAGCTTTGCTGAACTTCCTAGGCATGCGATGGTGCGATGTGGCTCGTGAAGCGTTTCTGGGGCTTCCCAGGAGACCATGCGAAGCAGTTTTATTTTTTGTTATTGGATCTGAAGGATTACCAAAGCAATCTAGCCAACAACAAGATTATCACTGAGTCGAAAAGCTCCGCTCCATTTCACAAGAGTCTGCTGTGATCTCACAAGATTGGACGTTGTCAGGACCATTCGTGCCCTATATGCTCACTCTTACGTCGACAGACTCTGGAACATGGGAGCCACGGAGCGCAAACAAATGGGCTTGCAGCTTCGTGCTCAGAACATTTTCAGCTTCAGCATGCACGCGCGAGCCACAGCAAGCCCAACCCAATAGCCATTTGCATATTCTTCTTTTGTGGTGTCTGTGCTTCAGCTATCTTCAGCTTGCTGCTGGTTTGCTGTAGCCACTTTAGCCCGTTGTGAGGTGCGTCGACGGTGACTGGATCGAGGACTTGGCGCATCCAGGAACTTACAGGCACACCATGGCACACCTGCGTCACCCAGAGACCTAGATGGGCGCAGTTGGGGTACAAAGACACTGTGGCCTGCCTGGCCTGCTTCTTTGCCAGACGAATGCCATTATTTTTGTCATCTAAGGGTGTCCTCCCAGAATCGCTGATCGTGGCGCATCGTCAGGCCTGTGCAGTTGGAAATGGAGGCTTTGACGGCTCGGACCCTTTCGTGACCCATCTCCAGAATGCATCACACTGCTCCTGCACAATTCGAGGCTTCTGTTTTCCAGCTGGTGCTGCCACGGCCTGGCGCAGGCTGGGGATAAATGGGTGGTCTTTCCACGTCGCATCAGTCGCTGAAAAAGTACGCTTGGGAGCATTCGCAAAGCTCCAGATTCTCTCAGGTATGGCCTTGCCTGCACATCGCGTGGGGCAGTTCATGTGGCTTGGCAAGCATGGGCCTGACCCAAAACTATACCTTTTGGTTGTCAGGTTATCTCGGAAGTTTTCGTTATTCTTTGCTTATATAAGGTTATCAGACAGTATCCATGCTCTGACGGGTCTTACTTGCTGCGCATCTATCGCACTCACCATGCTACTGCGACCGTAGAGTATGCATGATCAGAAATGAAAGAACACATGAGACAACGCTTACAAGAAAACGAAGCAAAGACCCAATTAGTGCACCCCAACCCTGATGAGGGAAAATACGAAATGAGGGAGGTGACGAGGAGCGAGAACAAGTAGGATACAATTGAAGCAGTCACCGCAACACCTGACACCCACTCCTTACAACCCCCTCTTCATGTATGGTTTGGGGGGTGCCCCCTGATCCTGACGCACCTTCGCTCAGCCAGGGTGGTAGCGTTCGGTTCAGGCTCTTGTGCCGCTTGTAGAAAAGGGGTGATCTGCCTGATTCAGTCAGTTTATCTGACAAACCATGATGCTTTCCCCCATGCAAGCTCTCCAGCTGTCATACTGCACGTCCCAAGGCGCAGCTACCTTGCTTACGATGGTTTGGAGCCTGAAGAGCTGACCCTCGAGGCATTTGTGTAAACGTGTTGGGAAGCGTTGGGAATAGTCCATGACACTTCAACTGAGGCACTTCTTCACGTGTGGTAGTTTAGGAGCGCCAAGGCCATCGCTGCCCCCACTTGGTCCCCATCACACCTTTTACCGCGCTTGGCCTTCTTCAAAAAGGTGTACGGTTGAGGCATGCAAGGCGGGAGGGCTGACGATCAGGCCGACAGACCCACAGTCACAATACATCATCATGCCGGCCTTGCTGCAGTCACAAACACCGATATGTCCGATATGTCGTTTTCTTCCAAAACAGGCGCGCCCACAAGGCCAAAAATATCCCGGCCACAACCCCTCCTGCTTGCGGCTTCTTCTCGTGAAGTTGGGACATTTACGGCGCTCGACTGCCATTTGTTCTTCGGAATGCTGGCCAGGCTCCGAATGCGGACGAGCCCGTCCATCTCACTGGCTGCATGCGACGCGTCATCGTTCGGCCAGAAAAGCTGAGGCAGAGCAATCGCTGTCAATTGTAGAGACAAAGGTGACAAGCGTAATGAGCAAAAAAGAGGTGGTAGCTACATCAGTTTGCTGCCAACGATTGCGAAAGATCATTGAACTGTCGATATGCCCTGCAGTTGGTATCTGGAGCCCAACCTTGGCGTTCCAGACACTGACTGGGCAGACCTGCCCGGGAAGGCTGTGTGGGGACCAAGCATGAACTCAGTGAATCTCCGTGAATCTCAGTGTGCAACTCAAGAGAGGGCGCGCTGCTGTTTTGCAGCATCGCGTATGCTTGTATCGTGTCTTCGTGTCTTCGACATGCCGAGGCTCTGAGGTGGAAACCGTTCCAAGTGCTCATTGAGATTCCTTGAGATTCGTTAGATTCGTTGAGTTGTTGCACAAAGGTTTGTGTTTTTATTTGCTTTAGCAAATCTTTTGCACTGTGAGAGGCCTTCAATAGAACGCGCGTTTTTTTGAATTTCTCAGCTCTCCTCAAGCTGGGCTGCACGCATAGATTCCAACAGTCATGTTGAAGGTCAGCCGTGCAACAAACACCCGAACTCGTGCAAAGCACCTTGATGGGCCACTGGACTGCAAGTGGTTTCTGATAGCGAGGCACTTGGGACCGTGTGTCAGCTAACTGTTCCGCATCATTGCCCATCCTAGAAGTAGCTCCTGAAACGAAAGCTTGGCTGAGGTCAAAGTCGCTCGTGTTGGACTTCCACTTGGGGCCTGGGCAGTATGCAACGATGGCTATGCGGGAGGTTCAGCGCTTGATGCAGAACATCGTTGTAAACAAAGCCACTGCGGCAGTCTACCGGTAGTAGCCATGAAGCTGTTATATGCAGACGGATTTGGTTTGCGTGCGGCAGACATGTACAGACTATAGACCTTCTATGTTTTGCACATGTGTTGAAGTCAAGAGGCCAGGTAGCATCCAGGTTCGCAGCTGCTCTTTTGTTCTGTAGCAAAGGCAGATCGAGGCATGAGCTACGTTTTGGCATGCGAAGCCCAAATTGCTGGTGAGGGGCATGAAGCAAACCGAAACAATGAAGCAGCTCGGAACAAAAGAGCTTTGCCAAAGGCCTGCGAGGCCTGTGAAGGAGCGCGAAAAAGCCATTTTCCGGCACGTACAATGAGTATACTGCTGAAGCATTTTCCATTGGTCTCTTTGGTCACATCTCCTGTGCATCATCCGAGGTGCCAACAAGTGTAGCCTTCTTTGGCTTAGATGTTGCAGTTCGCAGTTTGTAGTCAGTTTGTCATCTTAAGAAAGCAAGAGACATGCAAGAGTTGCAAAATTGGTGTCAACTTCGCGTTTCTGTTGGCTCCCTCCGGAAGAAGCTGTGGATGCAGCAAGCACCAGCAAGCCGACAAACGTGTGGCATGACATGACAACCCGCTGCCAGAGCCAGCAACCCGTTCAACTGTTTGCAATTGTTTGCAGCCTCGAACGCCGAGGTTATGCGGCCACGGCCATCCAAGGCACCACAACATCACGTGTTCTTCAGTGACACCGAGGCACTGGGGAATCACTGCATTGTGGCATTGGCCTTGCTCCGAACTCCTTTCAGCCGGTCCGGGTCTCTGACCGCAGGAGGAGACAAAAAGCCTTCAAAGCTGCAAAGCTGTGGCCGCAAGCGAAGAACAACGAGAGCAAAAGTATCATGCCGTTTGTTACGTGCATGGCTTTGACTGGCGGCGATGTTCACGTTCACCCTCTCATGCCACGTGATCAGCTGCTTTTCATATTTATAAGTTCTGCTGCCATGGGGTATGGGGAATTTTGGGCTTGCAGACTCTTGCAGGGCGCTGGTCTTCAGTAAAACTCTGGCGGCTCATTTCGTGGTGGCAGCGTCCTTTTTTGGAGCTGTTCGTGGGCAGGCCGAGCAGCTCCGCGACTGCCACTTAGGTCACGCGGTAACGAAGCTCAAGCAATGTTTTAGAGGCCATGGTCTTGCATCCAGCGTCGAGACGGGTCGAGACGAGTCGAGACGGGTCGAGACGGGTCGAGACGGGTCGAGACGGGTCGAGACGGGTCGAGACGGGTCGAGACGGGTCGAGACGAGTGAGAGACAGTAGGAGACAGTAGGAGAAAATGAGAGGCAACCTTTTAGAGTAGTGCTGCGAGAATTCCAAATGAACGTCACAAGAATCTCTTGTCTAGGCAAATTCTGAACCCCAGCTACAGTCAAATGTTCGTCGCTGCTCGTGGAACAAAGGGAAAAAGGAGAGACAACAGCCGAGACAGGCATCGCAGCATCCAGGGTCCGCTGACTGTACGAAGGGCGTGGGAGACCACACTCGGGCGTCACAGCATCCAGGGTCTGCTCAGGTTACAAAAGGAGATCAAGGGAGGCAACACTCCCAGACAGGCGTCACAGCAGCCAGCGTTGCAACAACCGGAAGACAAATTAAATCTGCTTGGGGAATTGAATTGCACTTCTCGAATAGACTACACACACAAACACATTTCTTTCAGTGTGTAATGCATTACTGCTGGTGTGCACTGCATTCCTGCTGGTGTGCTCACGTTTCTTCCGTTTGAAACCCTTGCCGCTGTCTAGCGGAAGCTCAAGTGTGAGTTGCGCAACACGAGGGACAGTTTTGGCAAGGCGAAGGCGATGCAAGCTTTAAGGAACGTGTAAGACCAGCAGCTGACGTCCAAACAACTGATGTTGCAAGCTCGCGGAAGCCCTTCCTGCAAAAACAACACCTCCTGCTGGAACTTCATCCCGGGCAATCCATGGTATGATTGTTGCAAACCTTTTTCGTTTGGTAGCACTGCGTACTTGCTGTTTGCTGGAAGTTGTGACCACAAAAACATCATATGGTCGGAGGTCCGCAATAGAGGGTCTGGAACTGTCAGTGCAATTCTCAGTACGTGTTCCGAAAGAAACAGTCGGACAAGTCGGACGTCTTCAGTTTTTCGAGGGTTCGGTTGCCGAACTTACCAAACATATAACCTCTCGGAAAGGTCATTGGTGACTGTGGTCTTACCAACTGGTTCCCCAGCGATGAAGAAGGCCAGAAAAAGACGCGCCTGGCCGAGCTCAAGAATGGACGACGCAGGGTCCAGACTCCAGCCACTCAATCGCATCGAATCCTCAAAGTACTCATTTTGCTGCGGCAATAAGTCTGTTTTGGCTACACTGGTGTTCGTAGGGGCTGTCAAACAGGCTGACTCGCCAATTTTTTCCCTCGTATTGAATCTCAACCCACAGGAGGCCTGGGAAAGCCAAGTCTGAAAGTCAAGAAGAAGAGTCGCAGAATGCATGGAAACTGAGTTCAGGGTGACAAAGGTTAGCGACCGCAAAGCCGGTCTTTCGACGTGCATCGCGCTCCGACGCTATGCTCTTAGCAGCATTCCACTGGCAACAGTTAGCATGCCCTCTGAATTGCCACAAGTCTTTCACAAATCTTTCGAACTGAAATAATCCGTTGACATACCTTGCCAGAGGATGCGTCTGGAGCAGTGTAGGATGTTGAATGATAAGTCACCCCGTCGGCTCACTTCTATGTGCCATAGGGCACACCCGACAAACCCCACACTGTGCACCAAATCTCAAAGTCGGTGAAGAGCGGATGCCGCGGGCAGAAGCGCCATGGATGAGGAGGTGCCACCTCAGAATTAAAGCGTTTCCTTGTGTTTTTGGCATTTGCCTGTGTTGACTTTGTAGCTTGGCAGTAAGTGGAGTCATCACTTGAAAGCTCTGCAAACTGCATAATACATCATCATTCTGATCCCCCCTCGAGCCACTTGGTGAAGCTTTGTGAGATGCCCTCGTAAGCTTCGAGAGGTCAGCTTCGCCCCCGAGGCTGCTGGTGAGGCCGGGTGCCGAGATGCGGATCTTTGAAGATTTTGAGAGCGAAGTTGAGGTTCAAAAGCGGCGCTTAAAGCAGCATCTTAGCACATCTTAACACACTCACAGCTGGTCACGCCTGCAGCGAGGTCTCCGACCACCCGCCTGTGGATTTCAGCTGGGACGGCTATGGGTACGACTTGCTGGTCCTGAGCTCATAACTGGAGTGGAGGAGAGGAGTGCGCTCAACAAAAACCCCTGACCTGAGGCTCTGAGGCTTAGAAGCGGCTTTCATTCCCTTAAAATGCTTTGGCCATTGCTTTTGCACCAACAACTGTGTTCTGAAGCTGTCCTTCAGGAAACATAGCCCTTCTTCATTCCAGAGAGCACGCGTGGTGAATGTACGAACAGAAGGGTTAATGGCGGTGGAAAAGCCCGTTACTTGTTGACGAACAGGGGGCTTTTCATGCACGTAAAAAGGGCTTCTGGTGAGTGAGGATAATTATGCACAACTTGGGTGACTGAAAAGTAAGTTATATGTTCTGGTTGGAATAATGTTATGAATGTAGCATGAAAACCTTAATACCGGCCTATGGAAAGAAACCTGCTTCCCAAAGCTTAGAAGTTAAGGCTTTCACATGTCGCAGATGTACGAGTTCGAGATAGCATACGCTAGAGTCGCTAGAGAATACCGAAGGACGAGCGTAAGAAAGTACCTGTCCTCGTCAATTGGCAAACCATTGGAATGCTATTTTGGCCGAGTGCACAGTCACAAAAATCAGGCAACTGTCGCTGCGGCGGGTGATCGGATGGCGTCGGGGCTCTTGAGCATTCGTGCAGTCTGAGGATGAGCTGTGAGAACTTTCAAAAGCAATGCATCGGCAGCTGCGGCACTGCAATTTGGACTTATGGTTTAGACTTGGCGCGGCTGAACTAAGGCCTTTGGGCAGAGTTCAGGCCAAGCTTGCTGTTGAATTGATCAAGGGGAACATGTCAGCTCCGTTCTGCAGGTTCTATTGGGGAAGCCTAAAGTACCCAACGCCACCAAAAGCCTAAAGGGCCTGCATTGAATATCATTGCACACAGCCAGAAGCCTAAGTTCAGCACCTCCTTTGCTTAATGCAAGGCCATCTTTGACTCCCAGCAAAGAGATCTCAATTCCGCGTGCAGCTCCCAAGCCGATTGTTGGGTTCGGAAGTAATTGGAAGGCTTCTGCACTTGATGTCCACTTTGCAAGCAAGCAGTTTCAGGTTGAGTTTGAGTTCATTGTCGGGAAAATGCAACGCTTGGAGTCGTGAGAGTGTTGCCGCCTCTAGATTGCATGTCGTCGCGGCGTCGCTGAGGTGGGATGACATGCGGGACAAAGTCTGCAACTCGCTGATGCCAAGTAGACCCCAGGTCCGTGCATTGTCGAGCAACTTCCTTGCCTTCAAAAGAAGCTGCTCTGAGATGCTCTGAGATGTTCTTCGTCCTTAAGCCATGTAGCTTTGGCAGGCAAGCGCAGGAATCGCCACGCCGACCAGCTGCCGTTCCTCAGGATTCGCATGGATTCAAGCTTTGACCATTGGCCTGTTGATTCCAATGGCCAAGTGCGGCTGTTAATTCATATTAATTCACTTAACCCCCTGCCTAGAATTGTTACAGAGACAGGGGCCCAACTCCCCCCAGCGCTCAGGTGCCAACAGCGCCTGCTCCAGCCGCACACCAGCGGCCAAGGCTTTGCTTCGCGTTCGGTTCGTTGATTTCGTTGATGTTGGTTGCTCAATGGGTTTGGTCAGACACGTAGAGAGGTTTTTTCGGCAGCAGTATTCCCATTCTGTCAGACGAGGCACCGCCTACTGCCGTGCAGGGCGAACTGGTGGAGGACGGGCAACCAGACGGTCTTATGGCTTATATAAGTGTTAAAGTTATCACAGGACAGTAGACTCGCAACAGGAAAGACGCAATGGATTCTAGTTCCACCGACGACAATGCATTGAACATATGTCACGAATGAATAAAACATGCCTTCATTCCATCAACCTGCGTGGAGCTTTCTGATCTGGAAAACTCGAGCTGCAGGTGCCAGCACTGTTCCCGAATCGGAACCAAAACAGATTCCGGCGCTGCAGGATGCAAGAAATTGCAAGAGAAGGCCGCCGTATCTCCGCCAGCACGCACGAGCAACACTAGCCACTAGCCTGATGCTATGCGCCAGCACGCGCAGAGCTTAGGCAAACGGCAAAGCAGGGAGGACCTTTGCGTGTCGGCATTATACACCAGCATCAAACATGACACATCATGCTGCTGTGCCCGACCACAGCTGCAAAATCATCCAGTTCTCTAAAAACTTCGGCTCCGCATCATTCCACGTCAACATTATTCGGGTTTTCTGTGGCCATAAGAAATGCCGAAAGATCTGAACAAATTGAATCAGAGCCGTCGGGTGGTAGTAGGGGAAAGCGGTCGGGGGCAGCGCGCAGAAGCAGCTTGCAAACTACTTTCCTCACACAAACCCTTCTCTCACGGCTGCGCAGCGCGAGCGATCCTGATCAAGTGCCTGAATGCGAATCAACCGCTTGGAATGCACGCATCGCAACGTGCTCACCTTACAACTGGCAACATTCGGGTCGATCCATGGTCCGTCGCTGGCCCAAGCTGGACAGCTCAGCAGACACATAGCAGCGAAATGCAGCGCATTGCATCATGATGTGCACGGGGGCCTTTCTCATCCTTCAC